CATTCTTCTACAGAATGCACTTTAGTTGCAACAATCTTGTTGATCATACAAAAATTTTGGCATGAAAATGGTTGGTTTGGGTGGAAATGTGTTTTCTTTTTCCTCAATCTCATCATTATTTGTTGGAGTGGTAAGTGTCATCATCTTGTATAGCCAAATTGTAGCCAGTGATTGCCTTTTGATCAACTATGTATTTTTTAAAGCCTTGCTTTAATAATGAGTGAATGAATGTATTTAAAGTTCTCTATCCCTCCAAACATGTTGCTGGTTCTCTTCAATAAAGAACCTCTCATCGCCCTCTCTTTTTCCAGTTCCTTTGTCTTCTTTTTCTCCGGTCTTTTTCCCTGGTATTCTTTAAATTCGTCTTCTTTTATTTTATAATATCAACATATTTATTTATTTGCTCTCATACTATTTGTGCTGCATAACTGTTGACTTAGTAACTTACTGACGTAAAATTGTTCGGATAGTTGTATACTGTATTGTATTCGTCTCAAAGAATCCATCTATAAAGCTCTTCCTTTGTCCAAACAACTTACACAATTATCTGTCTCTTAAACACTACTCTTTCACTTTCTCAAAACCTGTTCCTGGATTTTCTTTTGTCTTCCATAGCTCATGATTAGTTACTGGTTTGAACGTAACTAGTATATGCCGTATTGGTTTATTTAGTATACTGAAAGATCATCATAATTGTTATTGTTTGAAATAATCTTTTTTGTACATCCTATTCTGATAGCCTTGCTATGGTATTGTACTTTTCTAAGCTGTTGCTTAATTGATGTGCTTTTGTCAGCGTCACAATTGACCTGTTGAGTACCCACGATACCCAAAAATTAACTAAAGAAAGAAGGGAAAAAGAAAAGAAAAGATAGCATAGGAGTAATTTAGGGAGTAAGGATACACAGTTGATCTATCATCTGGGGGGGATTTGGAGTGGGGGCATCCCACTGCAATTTTGAACTGTTGGGGGTTTAGTCATAATTTTTAGAATTTTAAAAAGTCTTGAAGCTTGCCCCCACTATAATTTTGTAAAAGATGTAGGAGTAATTTTATAATTTCAAAGTGGGTTTGTTCATAAATCCAAAAAGTACTTCAGAAATCGGAATTGATCTAACAAGTCACTATACTCTGTTTTTTACTCATCACTCTCTCTTTGTTCCCTCTCTTCCCCCTCTCCACAGTCACCTATTTACCCAATGCTCCTAAGAGGATGCTTCAGCTACATAATCGAATTTATTGTGACCTTTGTGCTTCTGTATTTAGATTGCCGATTGTCAGGTCATTTGTCGTTTAAATTCCATCACTAATAGAAGCCCTAGAAGATTCAATTAGATCTGGGGGAGGTAACCCAATAACTCCTGAAAGGTTTGTAATATTTCTATATATTTTGTAATTTTCTGGTGTTTGACTTGATAAAGCTCTCCTCAAATTTCCATGTATGAGGTCCAGGTGACATTGCCAAATTGAAGTGCAGTTTTTTGTGGTTAATGTTCTTTGTTGTTGTATTAGTTCCTGAAATATTCTTTGTTGTTAGTCATCAACAATCTAGTTTGTTTGTTATATTCTGTTGGTGCCACAGTCATGTTTTCTAATATGATCCGGTTGAAAGCTTATTGTTGCAATGATATTTGATTATGTTGTACGGAATGGGTGGGACTTGGCTCTTGCTCTTTTTCTCCCCATATGTTAAATTTTCTTTGATTGGAATTTATCAATTAGGACTATATTTTAGATTGAGTTGTTTTGATTGATCGGTCTACTCGAACAATATTTTTGGAATAGATTAAATTAGGGTAAATTTCACGGAAAAATGGCCTAATTACACGGAAACCCCTGTAGTTTCTAAAAAATCACTGCACACCCTTGTAGTTTATATATTCATTTTGCATGCTTTCCCATCCATTAAAAGGGTTATTGGAAAAATTACATTTCACTGATGTCATCAAATTTTGGGGAGCAAAACAACGAGACAAAGGAGAGAAAGATAGAGGGAGAATGGGATTTAAAGCATATAAATATATCTATACGTACACACACACACACATATTTTTATATTAGTGATGGATAAATGAGTAAAACTTACTTTCCACTAAGGTAATTGTGTAAAAGTGCAGTCTCCATCTATTCCATTATTGGCAACAACTGATAGGGGTGTCAGTGATATTTTAGAAAACACGTGGGATGTCCCTATAATTAGGCTATTTCTGAGAGGTTGTTAGTGAAATTTACCCTTCAAATTATTCATGTATAAAAAGTTCTGTTTAATAGGCTTGTAATAAATTAATTTTTCTAAACTTTCATTGTTAAACTAGTGTATTAAATTAAAGAATAATCTATTGAGTATCTACAGGGCTACAGAGACTTTTGATACGATCATTTCTTTTTATGTTGGTTCTTTTTGTACATTGCTCCAATATGTGAGTTGTACCTTCAATTGCTCTTACACAAAAGTAAAAGGATCCATTTTTTGGGAAAATAATGTTAGAATTATGATTTTAATTTACAAATGAGTTTTAGTTGCCCCATGCCCCCGTCTATCGTTATAGACCAGCTCATTTTCTCATGTTTGAAATTCGACCTATGCTCTATATGGTATATTTCAGTTAGCAGTGGCGGATTTAGTATGGGGGTAGCTGCCCCCACTGAAATTTTTAAAAAATTTGGGACCTATGTGTAATTTTAAAAATTTCAAGAATTTTTTAAACTTTCCCCCACTGAAACTTTCTTAAAATATAGGGTATATTAATATAATTTTCAAACCCTTAAAAGTCAATTTTGGCAGCTCCAGCTCCTCGTTTTTCTGTCGCTTGTTTTTTTTGTTTTCCCCCTGTAAGTCTTTGTTATTTTCGTAGTCGGTCCAACGTCTTGTCCAACCCTCTTCTTTCTTTTATTTAAGTTTCTTTGTTACTTTCTTTGGTGTAATCATCAACTAATCAGCCAAGGAGAGGTAAATCAGCCCCTTTTCTTTGTTAGTTCCTTTGGTGAATTCAATCATTGTGCAAATCAAATTTGAAGAAACCCTAGAAGATTATGTTGAAGCCAAAGAGAGAGTTAATCTATTAACCAAATTTTTTGATAATAGTATTAGCACTAATCTAAAATCAGATTTTTTTTATTAAAAAATTAGTCTAGTTTCTATAGAATTGATGGTTGTTTGGTGTATTATTTATGAACTTATGTAGGTTTTCTTTGTTTCGTCTTGGGTCACCACTTAACTATTTTCGATTTTTGTTGAAGTTCCCTGTTCAGATTGGCTATCTGAGATTCTTGGTTAGTGCTATTTTTCTTCCCAGTGATTAAATTGTTTTAATTGATTTTTTGAAATTGTAGTTTAGATTATATTTTGATTTATGGATTATATTTTGATTATGTGTAGTCCATTATTAGATGTTCGAGAGTTGTGAGCTCTTTTTATATAGGATCTCGAACACTAAAGGATACTTTTGATGTGAATTTTTTTTATTGCCTTTTTTTGTATATCACTTATATATATGAGTTGTGCCTCTAAATGACATTCTTTTGACGTAACTATGCTTATAAACAATTTATCAAGAATACATATTTTTGATGAAAATAATGTTACAATTATTTTTTTTTTATTTGAAAAAAAGAAAAAGAAAAAGAAAAAGAAAAAAGTTACAAAATTTTTAAATTTCAATAGTGGCAACTTAAATTCTTAAATTTCAAAGTTACAATTATACTCTGAAATTTAAGAATTTAGGTTGCCCCCACTGAGGCAAAATCCTGGCTCCGCCCCTGTCGGTTAGATATGGAAATTGTTGGTCCACACACCTCAAGTCTCATCACAAGAAAGGCAATTTCCTGTGCATATGCAACTGTTTTGCCTAGTCGCTTTCTCCTTCTTCATTATACTACTCGGATCAATATAGTACTCTGATCAAACATGGTGCATTGAAAAAGAAAGTCTGGAAAGATAAAAGTCATAAGAATTGTTAGAACCAATGTTATCAGAACCGGACCGGTCATCGAACTGGCTAGGAGACTAGGTCAATGGTTCACTGGTTCAACCAGTGGGTCACTAGTTGGACCTGCCATATAATAAAAAAAATAAAAAAATATATATAATAATTATAAAACATAATAATTTAGCTAAAAAATATAAAATATGTCTAAAATGCATACAATTTGTCATAAAATTAATGAAGTTAAATAAAAGAAACACCTGTGCCAAATATCAAAGTTAAACTTTAAAGCTCCAATCCAAGTACATAACAGAAAAATCATTCCAAGTCCAAACCCCAAACCACAATCCCTACTCAAATTAAAAGTTTACATAAGAACACATCATCTCCAAATGATAAGTAAACATAAGTTGCAAATCTCAAACACAATATCACAATGGCCATGCAAAATAAAAGTACAATTCCTCAAATACTCGATAAAAGTTGCACAAAGTATATTCTCTACTCATTTTCATTTTCCCAACGAGTACTTCTACTCCATGAACTCCAATCCATGCCAAACTCGGGGTGTTCAGCTCTAACGTGATTGATATTTTCAACAGTAGTTGCATTCCCAAAACCTCCACTCCCATTACCCACTTCATTTTCAAGATCATCATCGTCGTCATCCAATTCAAAGTTCAAATTTTCATCTACATTATATCCAAAAGAGGAATTATTTATTGATGTATTAAATAATGATTGTAGATATATACTTTTAGTGATAAAGACAATACAAGAAGAATGAAACATACCAGTGTTGATGTTTGGTTGGATATTGCATGCAGCTAATTCACCACGAAAACTTTCTACTTCATCTATAGTTAAACTTGGAGGCTCATCCTCTAAAATCCATGAGACATTACTTGTGAAATCTTCAAAGTCAATAGGATCATAATTTCTAGCCCTCAAGTAATTCCTGTATATCGTCATTTACTTGATGAAAATATCTAAAATATGCTATCAATGAAATATAATAAAAATCATTTGTCTTTTAATAAGATGCTAACGTAGATTTCATACATTTGTTGTAATCTTAAGTTGTAATGAACATAAACAAGATCATTAAGCCTTTGATGCTCCAACCTATTTCTTTTCTTTGAATGAATGTGTTCAAATGCACTCCAATTCCGTTCACAACCCGATGAACTACATGTTTGGCTTAAGATGCGAATGGCTAATTTTTGTAAATTTGGTGCACTACTTCCATAACACAACCACCATTCATCTGCATTTGATGCATCATAATCAAATTATAGCATTTAAAATAAACTAAACAAACTACTTGACTTGAATTAGTCAAAATTCAAAAGATTCTAAGTACCAGGAAGCATCGTATGTCGATCACTAATAGAGTCACTCGCCCAAAGTCTCCCTCTGCATTTCTGAACAACTTCATCTCATTTGTCAACTTACTTCTTAAAGTGGGATTTCCATAAGCATAACTCTCAATCACATCCAAGAGCCCTGAGATAGTCTGCTCGTGCTTTTCCATTTCAATAGTGTTATATTGGTTACTCGGATTCAACCAATAACCAGCGGCATGCAGATTTTTGTGAAGCTGTCTATCCCAGCGAGAATCAATGATTTTCAAGTAAACATCTACTCTTTTTTTCTTTTTTTGAAATCTTCTTAATAGTTCCTCCCTAGCTGTATGCATAGCTATGTACAAATAGCCCATTGAAGGCCTATCATCACTATCAACAATCCGTAGCACTCGAACAAGAGGCTCTGTTAGTTGGACAATAATAGCACATTCTTTCCAAAACCTAGAATCCAACACACTATCAACAAATTTTTTTCCCTTACTTTCCTTTGCATATGCCGACCCAATCCATTCTCTTGATGTAACCATAGCTCGTAAAGCATCCTTTTGTGCCAAAATACTTTGCAATGCAATAAAATTGGTTGCAAAGCGTGTAGGAGCAGGTCTTAGTATTTTCCTTCCACCAGTATGTTTCCTCATTAAATGCAAAGGAAAACAATGATTGTATATGTATTTTGTGATCTTTGAAGCATGGGACACAACATCATTTACCTCATCCAACTTTCCAATGTCCTGCAACATCAAGTTCAAGCAATGAGCTGCACATGGTGACCAAGATATTGTGGGAAACTCTTTTTCCAATAACCTCCCTGCAGCAACATAATTTGCAGCATTGTCAGTTACTATGTGCACCACATTTTCTACACCAACAAATAACACTACCTCTTTAAATAATTTAGATAACATATCAGCTGTCTTTGAAGCATCAGAAGCATCAACTGACTTTAGAAACACTGTTCCTCTAGGACAATATGCCAAGAAATTAATGAGAGTTCTCCTACATTGATCAGTCCACCCATCAGCCATGATAGTACAACCAGTCTCCTTCCATGTGGTTTTAAAACTATGAACAAAATTTTTGACTTCTTTGACATTCTTGTTCAACAAATAACCACGTATGTCATGAAAGTTAGGGCCTTTATAACCACCACCATAACCTGTTACTGCATCAAGCATAGGTTGATAATATTTGGAATTCACAGCATTAAAGGGAATGCAAGCATCAATCATCCATTTAGAAACAGCAAGATCACACCTCTCTTTTGCTTCCTTACTTTGTAACACACTTTTAATAGTAGGTTGAGCACCTGGAGTAGTCCTTGGCACAAAGAAAGAGCCAATTGTTTGACCCTTTCTTCCTCCGCCCATTTTAGGTGTTGATTTACCTCGACTTCCACCAATGGAAATGCCCTTTCCCTTAAAAGATGATGGAAGTTCTTGAACATCATCATTCTCTTGCATGTACTCTTGCTCTTCATATTGTCTAAACTCTGGTCCATATTGATTTAATTCCTCGTAATCTTCTTGTGTCTTTCTTTTCTTGTTACCAACACTTTCTAGGAGCAATTTCATCTTAAGGCTCACATCTGGAGGGCATCTAGTACATCGTTCTATTGCTCCTTTAATCCCCGCCAAATGTTGTTTGAATCTGTTGATACCACCACCCTTTATAACCTTTTGGCAATACAAACAAATCAAATTCCTCCCCTTTTTTGAAGGAACAACATCTTCCCGACAATGTTCCCATGCAGGGTCAGTTTTTCCTCTACCTGTAGCTTGTGTAGAGGAAGAGTTTGGTGTAGCTGTAGAACTAGTTGGGGTTGGAGTAGATTCATTTAGTGTGCCAGAAGATGACATTTTGCTAGAGCAAACAAACTAAAAGCATAAAATCAACAATGTCAACAAAAATCCAAACTGAAAATATGATCATATACCCTAAGTCTTGTATTACGTTATTTAACTAAGCAAAAATCTAATTCATTTACCCACGCTTGCTAAGCAAAAACAACATAATCAAGTTTATGACTACCCATTAGCTATGGAACATCAATGATCCCTTATGACTGCAATTCGATAAACAACCAAATCAGCACTAAAGATCAAAATGCAACTTTAAAGTTTAAACAGAAACAACATAATCACATACAGAGATCATTAATATGGACTATTACAAGAACACAATTAGTAATTCTAAATCAAATTTCTAGTGAAGACAAATACAATAAACGTGGCACTCATCCCAATCCAATCACTGTGGTAATAAAATTCATACCTGAGCCTAACATCCTCCAAATTCCCCAATTCCTCAACCCCAATTTCCCAAAAATTGAAGTCCAATTAGAACACCCTAGATAAATAGATTTCAAAAGACCAATCCGCAAAGGGAATCAAAGTAGCAGAAAATACCCATATAAAAATTCATCAAGAAATGGAAGAACTTGAAAGACTGTTGTAGATTCAATAAAACTGCAAAAAAAAAACCAAATCAAGAAAATTTTGCCTGAGTTCGATGGTCGTTGATTACAGTGGCCGGTCTCTGATCGGTGATTGTAGTGGTTCGTGATCACAGTCGCTTGGTGGTGGTCGCTGACTCGCTGGAGCCTTGGTCTCGGTCGCTTGGTCGCCGTCGCTGGAGCCTTGGTCGCAGTCGCCTGGTGGTGGTTGCTGGAGCCTGATGGTCGTTGGAGCCTGGTGGTGATGGTCGTTGGAGCCTGCTGGTGGTGAACCTGGTGATCGCTGGAGCTTGGTTGCACCGTTGCAGTCGCTTGGAATGGAGGCCCTGGAGTCTGGACAACAGTTTAGCTTCAGCGATTAGGGGTTAGGGCAGTAAAATATCCAAGTTTCATTTTATGTAATTTAAATTTTAAAGTGGCATTAAACCAGCCGGTTTTTATAAAACCGCCGATTTACGGTTTTTTTAAAGAATCGCCCGATTTTTCGGTTTTTAGCCGGTTTTATTCCTTAAGCGGTCCAATTATAGAACCAGACCGGTCAAGGTACCGGTTCACAGTTGAACCGGTCTGACCGGCCGGTCCGGTCCGGTTCGGATAACATTGGTTAGAACTGCAAATATTAATCCAATTTAATTTCGCTATTAGCAGATTGAATTTCTTGGAAAAGTGAGCACACCTACTTCTATGTTCCTGGCCTTAAGTTCTTTACTACCAATTGGTAGAAAGTAAATCCTGGAAAAAAGGATATTCAAATTCACCGGTCTATCTCCCCTTCACATTTCTTGGAACTAAGGATTTATAGAAGTTGTGTTTTGCTTTTAGTCTTGAGCATGTGCCCTCGCACCATATTGCTACGGCCTACGGAGTTGTGTCTGCCATTTAGAGCATGAAGACAGTTTACTTGTGCCCATTTGACTAACTCTTCCTTAAAATTGCTTAAATGCTTTTATATGTATTCTTAATATGTCTTTTGTTTGTCATTATTCTTTCATGTTTAATGTCAGTTATTAGTATTGTACGATACGTCACGATACTCTTGAAAAACGATACGTATTGTATCTCTGTTTAATTTTTCATTGTATCGTCTGATACACGGTACGATACGCCCAATACGAATGATACATGACGATTCTTGTTTTTTTTGGGAGTGAAATGACATCGTTTTACCCAAAGACTTATTTTTAAATTACCAGCTAGTGAAATAACATCGTTTCAGTTGTTATGGTTTAAAAAAAATAAACAAAGTTTGTTGTTAATGTTGTTCAATTGAATTTTAAATTCCTGATTAATATTAAGGTTATTCAAGCAGTTGATGTTAAAAGTTTGAATTAGAGGTTTTTGCATTTTGATATTACTAAATTATGTTGGGAACTTGAATAGTTAGTATAATATCAATGAAATGGTATGTTATTATGGGTCTATGACTTTTTTACAAAGGTATATACATATATTTTATTAATAATTATTTAAAAATTAAAATTGCGCGTATCTTACGATACACGATACGATACGATACGATACACTATTTTTAAAAAAATGGTACACTTTCCGATACACGATTTGACAACTATGATGTGTACGTATGTAATTTTTTTTGTTCTCATGAATTGATCCGAGTGTTTCTTTTTCAGGAAGTATTTGATACATCTGGGGGGTAAGTTCCTTCTGAACATTGAACTCAAGAAATTTCCATAGATTCTTATTCTTTATTTTCTTAAAATGAATTCCTTTCTATTTTCAGATGCGGTGCAAGTTTCACAATCGAGATTGTATCAGAACAATTTGGGGGGAAGAGGTTGCTGGAGCGCCATCGAATGGTGAATGCTGCGCTGACTGAGGAGATGAAACAAATTCATGCTCTGTCCATAACAAAAGCTCTGACCCCGGAGCAGTGGAAACAGCAGCAAGAGCCAGAAAAATCTCAAGCTGCTGCCTAAGATATGATTCTGATGATGCCAGGTGCTCAGATATGCATGTCATGTAGTTGATTAGGTTTACAGTTTTTGTTGGAAAATGTTTTTGGCTTTGCAATATCCTTCTGAAGCTCTGTTACTTAAGATCGCGATAATGTTACCTTGTTATAAAGCCCCCCCTTTTCCAGATAGTTTGAGCTTCGATCAGTGGTTGGTATATTATGCCCAGACCTGCTGGGCTTAATTTGAAAGACGAATCATAGAGTTGCACTTTAGAAGGAGAGACGCTGCCACTAGTTGGCTTTTCAAGTCTCGGGGAACTCTGAAGGCCATTCTTGGTAAGCTATTGGGGGCACATGCTTTGGTTTTTCTTTACTCGTGTGCTGAATTTGTCTAGTTTTGTATGTCATCCTGGATAAGCTAATAAATAGATGGTTCTGATCAAGCTCCCTTTTTTGCTCCATGGCACTATTCCTTCATTTCCGTAAGGAAAAGGACTCGTGAAAATAAAAAATATTACATCCTGGTGGATGGTGGTATTGAATATTTATACAAAACAACTTGGTTGGATCATTGTCCATTGTTGGTCAGTTGTTTGAGTCATCTTTTTGAGCTTGTCAAAATCCTGTTGAGATGGCCAGTGAAAGCCGGGTGGGTATACTTAGGTTTGGCAATTTTCCAGACCTAATTGTTATTTACCAGTTTATTGTTGGCATAGTTGTACTATAATTCTCGGGAAGTTAGGAAGTCGCACTCAACTCCAGTGGACGTGGGTTCAATTTTTGGAGTTGATGTAAAGAATGAAATGGCTTGGCCACCTAATCCTTGCACCAAAATCAAATAAAATCTGACTCAGTCAAAATCAACTCAACTCTGAACCAGTACCCTCTGCCACGCACACGCATGCATTAATGCACCTCTCTCTCTCTCTCTCTCTCTCAAGAATAGGTTGAGCCTAGCGTGTAGTAGTTGAGTTTGATCTTTAATCAATGTTATCAGAATTGGATCGATCATCGAATCGGCAAGGAGATCGGATCAATGGTTCACTGGTTTAATCGTTGAGTCAACTGGTCGGACTGGTCATATAATAAAAAAATAAAAAAATAAAAATATATATATAATAATTATAAAATATAATAATTTAGCTAAAAAATATAAAATATGTATAAAATACATATAATTTGTCATAAAATTAATGAAATTAAGTAACAAAGTGGGGGTTATTGTATTTTAAAGCAAATTAAAGGGGTTCAAGTAAATTATAAAGAAAAAAAAAGGGTGTTATTTATAATTTATCCAAGAATAAGGTTAAAAAAAATTAACTATTTACTGATTTAGGGCAAAAAAATTTATTTATGTAATTTAATTTTAAATAGGCCGGTTTTTATAAAATCGGCGGTTCACGGTTTTTGTTAAAAATCGGCCAGTTTTTTGATTTTTAACCGGTTCGCTTCCTTAAACGGTTCAACTAAGGAATCGGACCGGTTAGGGTCCCGGTTCACGGTTGAACCGGTCCGACCGGCCGGTCCGGTTTGGTTTTGATAACAGTGTCTTTAATAACTCAAAAGTTACATATTCAATTTTTTTGCACATCCTACAAGGGTTAGTCATTTTTGTCTTTTGAAGTACATGTTGTATCTCCGCTTAATCCACAATGGTTAATCACTGAACTCGAAAGAATATTCGACACAAGTCTGGATTTCTTATAACAAAAAAAAAAGGCAAAAGGATCAACTTTTTTATTTGGTTTATTCCTTTACTGATGTTATATAGTATTTGGATGATTTTACGGTTAAGAGTATTTGAGCGAGAATAATACCTGGATGAGTGATCCCGAGAAAAGTCTTTGTGTTCCACCTTTATTTTTAAGTAAAACCTGTAAATTTAACAAGACAAGCTGTCAGACATAAATTCTCCAAAATTTTGATACAAATGTGTTGAGTAGTTTCCAATAAAGTCAGCCTAGGACAGACCGGTCAAATTTATTAATTACACTATTGATTAAATCTACTGCTCCTTTTATTTTTAAATATATGTCGTTTAAAATTTTAAACAGAAATTAAAGAAATTATTAAATAGTTCTAATATGAGTACAAAAAAATTATACAAGACTAAAATACTTTTATTCAATACGTGTTGGAAAAAAAAAGAATATGAAAGACATTTAGCCTTCACCTAATCTAATGCATTAAAAAGTTAAAGGTAAATTTGAAAGAAAAAATATTAATTATGCTTTAGTTTCATAAAACGACAAATATTATAAAACAAAAAAAATTATGTAAAACGAGAAATATTTATGAACGGAGGGAGTATTACTGTTGGCCTAAGATAAAAAGTATCAACGACGTCATCTACGTCAAATTTATTAATCAAATTTACTAATTAAATCTAATGGTTTTGCTAAATTGATAGGGAATTTCATTGATTTTTGTTTTTCAAAATCAGCGGTGAACGTGAGTTTTCCCATTAAGTCAAAAGTAAAATTACGAAATACATTAGTACACAGAGAAGCCCACCAAGTCTGTTTTATAGTAAATGGGACCAGTAAAAAGAAGAAACTAAGCTGCATTACACTCGATTGTCGTACCCCTTTGGTGACTTGAATAATTACCATTTCATTTCAGCTCAAATTTGCCACCAATCAATGTTTGGGTCAACTTGGGAACTCTCAACCACATGTGTATAAATCTTATCCTCAAAATGTTTTACATAAAACCAAGACAATTTGAACTTTGGGTCCTTCAAATTGGGTGTAATTCCAGTTGGTACCATTGCAACTAGGATTCGACTGCATCATTTGTGTCTGAGTTAGAAGGAGTTCGGCCTCAGAAACTTCACGTGTCATGTTGTCCAATTGTAATTAGACAATTCTCATTAAACGATTGTGTTAAGCCCAAGTTAAATATTTAAAGTCGCCCCAAGTTGGGAGGATCATATTTACAAATTTGCATGTTCTATCATACTGCCCCCATGGCAACTTGCCCAGCTCCTTCAAAGACAAAGCTCAAAGATTGCAAGTAAAAGTCATAAATTACTGAAGCCATGTGATCATAGTAATTAAAAAGGGAAATTTGAAAATTGATACAAAAATTTAAACTTAATTGAACTAAACTACATTAAAGAAACTAATTTACCTCTAAGTGCATTTAAAAAAAAAAAAAAGACTAAAAGACCATTTATAACTCCAATACTCTCTCTCTTCCTTATCTTCTCTCTATCTCTCTCCCCCTCTCTCAAATTGATAATTTATTTATTTTTCAAATCTATAAATATTTGATTTAAAATATCCATCTCTCTCCCCTATTTTTTTTGTCTCACTCTCTTTCCCTCTATTTTCTCACTGTTACTCTTTTTCTCTTTATTCTCTCTCCTTATATCAATGTTATAACAATACAATTATACTAATTAGTTACAATTACTTTATAATACATCAAACAGTTACTCATATGTTTTAAAAAATCAAACAGTTACACTAAAAAATTACACGAAATTTACAATATCAACTCAATTTGTCATTCAGTTATTTACATAAGTCAAAGAGTTATACCATTTAGTATCACAACATGGTTGCATAAATTATATACACTAAATTGAGTTTGTCATTACACAAAAGATTTTACCATTATACCAAATTTGGTGTACATAATTGGTGTAACCATGTCGTGATACTAAATAGTACAACTTTTTGATTTATGTAAACAACTGAATGACAAATTGGGTTGATGTCATAATTTTGTGTAATTATTTGGTGTAATTGTTTGATTTATTAGAATAAATGAGTAACTGTTTGATGTTATTATAGGACAATTATAATTTATTGGTGTAATAGTATTATTGTAACGTTGATATAACGAAATAGAGAGTAACGGCGCGAGAAAATAGGGAGAGAGAGGGAGAAAATAGGGAAGAAAGATGAAAAATCAAATCAAATCTTTACATACTTGAAAAAAAATAAATTATCAGCAGGAGATAGAGAGAGAAATAGGGGAGGGCCAGGAAGACTAACGGGGAGAGAGATAGGGAGAAAATAGGGGAGAGATATTGAGAGAGGAATGGAGAAGGGGGAGAGAGATTAAAAGAATAAAAATTATGCATTATGTAAGAAAGGATAAGTAAGTAAAAAAATTTAAATGACATTTGAATTTTGTATCTAATTATAAGATATTTTATTAAAATTAAACTTAATAGTGTAAAATATTTATCTATACACTTCTCCGTAAATAAGTCTAAAACAATATAGCCTCACCCAAAAAATCCATTAAAAAATATTAGTTACCCAAAAACAAAAAGTGGAGAAATAGTTATTAATAGAACTAGAAGTGTCTGTGATTCAAATAGCAAAGTACAAAATTTCTTTTAAACATAGTTTAGACTCCCGGCAGTGACTCTGAGCTTCATCTTCTCAATCAATCAGGAACACAACATTGCCAAACCATTTTTGTTGTTCCGATTGGATTCATGGCCACAAAGCTTGTAAAACCTCCAATCCCAGCCTCACAGGTGGGTCCCCCAATCCCCAGTATCACAAATATGATGAGATCTCACAGAGATCTCTCAGCCACTCATCCAAGGAACAAGAAGAGCACAAGATTTGGAGACTACCTTTCTTGTTTTACACCCATTTGCACCATTAGAGCTGCAGAACAAACCTCTGGTGTTGTTGGAAGTGAAAAGCTTGAAGAAGATGAACCATCAGATTTTAGAACACCAACCCAGATCAAAGCAGAACTCTATCAGGCAGTACAAGGTAATCCCTGTTAAATTCTCAACTTCATGGCTGTAAGTTTTTGGCTCTGGTTTGCTTGTAATGTCCTTCTTGAACAAGTTCTGATACAAAGACTGAAATGAGTTGGTTTCAATTTGCCCTAACAATTCTAAACACGACTAATGAGACTAACACAAAATCGACATTGGATTAGAGGCTTTAATTTTAGTATGAACGGGTTTGAATAGTAAATGAGCACACCGGTTACACCCGTCAAATAAATAAATTGACACAACCGCACTAAACATTCATTATGCAAGCACGAACCTGACACGTAGGCAAATACAGGTTTGTAAATGCGTCAATATGAGTTTAACAAATTTTAAAACACTACCTATTAACAATCCTAGTTTCACTATGTTCCAAAGGCATCAACAGAGGGATTTTTGGTGTCCCATCTGCAAAGAAATCTGAGATTGAAAGACTGGTCAAGCTGCTGGAGTCTCATAATCCAACTCCAGACCCTACTTTATATCTAGAAAAGGTGCAACTTCTTGTTTGGTTCATTTCATGGAATTTGTAGAAGTGATCTTAAAATAGTGATTATATATTTCCTGTGTTTGGAAAAGATGGCTGGAACTTGGAAGCTTGTTTACAGCACAATAACCATTCTGGGACCAAAAAGAACCAAGCTGGGATTGAGAGATTTCATCAGTTTAGGAGACTTTTTACAGACTATTGATGTTGCTGAGGTACAAAATTTTCCACCGCAACTCCTATAGTAGGCTGATAATATTCATCTTTTGGACTAGTAGTTTTAGCCTTTTCCATGTTGATCTTTTCAATTTTCACTAGCTATATATCTTTCAAAGATAAAAACATTAAATGAAGAACAACAAGCTAGGCAACTCGGATAGGAAGACCTTAGATGTTACTATTTCAAGTTCTCAAGTTCGAGTCTTGCAAAAGAGATCTTGGTTGATCTGATGTGCATAGTTTTTGGGTGACTGTATATTGTTTAGTGACAAGTTTAAATGATGCATGGTTAGAAAAGTTTTCGATTATCACAAAAAGTAATATAAAAAGAAGCACCAAAAGTTCTAAAAAATGCAAGCATATTATGTAGAGCGAACTGTTTCTCCTTCTTAGTTGCTATTGAACGGAATTGGATCGCCGAACTTCAATATAAATTTGTTACACTTAAAGTTGTGTAGGAACATTTCCCTAAAAACTGTATTTGCTCCGACCAGATTGACTAAGGTGTGCAAATGAAAAATTCGCAAATCTATCTTCAAAATATAATGAAGCCTCAAACTTATTTGCGTATTTACATTGACGAAAACAATCTTGAATATCCACTGAAAAAATGAAATAGCCAAGAATTGGAATACTAATTTTGCAGTAGTTTGGTGTGCTCTGTATTTAAGAGCCACTAGTTTCTGGGTTTCAGACTCAAATTTCTATTAATTTGAATGGACCACCGATCAGATTGATTCATGCCCACGTACGTGTGAAGTGCTCCGTGTAGGCTCCATCGTGCCGACGGCCACGACTCATGTGCCAAGTGCGCCATCAAAGCGCCCCCTGCCCGGGCAAGGGCGCATATGGTGTTTTGCATTGTGGGTTGATCCATGGTGCATAGTGGAGCCTTTAGAGTAAAGTGAATGTACGTACTCCACTATCTTTTATATGTCCACAAAATTTATTCTATTCTTGCGACGTCGAATTGGTGCCAAAAACACTCGTTCACCTTCTCAAAGAACACGTGAGTTTTTCAAAAGACCCACTCAACAAAAGCAATTATTTTGAAAATCCTTAAATAATATTATGACACTAATACTCACAAATCCAAAATGACAAAATATGACTCGATTTATATCCCTAATTCCAGGAACAACTAGAGCTGAAAATCAACTTCAATGTGAATTGGGGGTATTAAAAATTGAATTCGTGAGGATTTAGCTTATTCCCCTTAACTTTTTGATGAGTAAAGAGATGAATATTTCTCGGGATCCAAATCTCCTCCAATATGTTTTTTTTTTTTTCAATTTCTCTCGATAGTAGACTGTCCACCATAGATTCAAGAGAGATCCACCAAATATAAGTGGGTCACGATCAATAAATGGAGGGTGATCTGCATTAAGAGGAGTTGAAGAAGAATGCATCAGGAGGGTTTTGAATTCATTTTTCGAGTGCTATAAATTGCTATGAAATTTTTGTTTGTTCTTTCACCAAGTTGCTATTTTATGATGTGAAAATGGAGGGTAAAGCAATTAATGTGATCAAGTTCAGTGCCAGAGGTCTAAATTTGTTCAATGGACAACTCACAATTGAGGCCTCCTTTAAGATTGCATCCAAATCAGTTAAGGCTTCAACTCTGCCCTATCTTTATGCTTTCTTTTTCAATCATTAAATTAATTCTATGAGAGTTCTTTCACTATACTAAGTGTTATTGATCCTAAACAGAGAGTTGATATTAGCTACAGCAGCTCAACCATCACTCCAGACCAGGTATGAATGAAAAAAACCTATATCAAGCAAACATACATGAAAGCACCACACTCCCCCCCCCCCCCCCCCCCCCCCAACCCTTCAAATTTTATCTCCATTTTAGGGCTGCCTCTTAAAATATTGATAGTTGGACTTCAACCCCTCGCATCTTGTACTCTGTTTTTCTTAAATCTGACTTAACTTCGAATTGGATTTTTCGGCTCTGCCCCTACATGCATGCAAGCAGGCTAGGCAGCTAGCACAGTAAAAGCAAACATGAGGCTTCCTTAAGCCGAGCTATTCAATTTTGCAAGTTTGAAGCTAAGTTTTTTTTTTTTTTTGGGTAATAGCTGATGAATATATTTCGAAAAAACTATGATCTTCTCCTTGGCATCTTTAATCCAGAGGGCTGGCTCGAGATTACGTATCCTTTTAATCACATTTTCCCTGGAGTTCATTATCGAAACCATAGCAAAGTATGAGTTGTTACTCCTTGATTTGGTCATTGTAGATATGTTGATGATACTTTAAGGATGGGGATGGATGATAAAGGCAATATCTTCATACTGGAGAGATTGGAAGCAAAAATAAATCCTAGAGATCAATCGGCTTCATGAACTTGCTATGCAAAGCTTTACTTTTGGAGAGATTAAATAGCTTATCATAATTTTTCATACATTGTTTAATCCACATGTACTATGTCCACTTTTACACTTGTGAGAAGTGACCATTTCAGGGATCTTTGCCCCATATGAAGTGAAAAGGCACATCTTAACCAAAGAAAAATCTTAGATATCTTCCTCTTCGAGAAGAAAATGTTTGGTTTGTGTGGTAATATGTAACCATTCATATATAAATAAGCAAAGTTTCAATTTATGTATCTTTAACCTCAAGAGAGCAAAGCTTTTACAAGACAAGGAGTACCATTGAACCAAAGGTCCATTGGTCAATTTATGTATAAACTAGCGTCGTTTTTGTGTAATGCACGTGAATCAACAATCCTCCCTATCCCTCCCATTTCTTCTTCCTCACCCTTCATCCCTTTCCCACCCTTATTAATAAATGGAAAAGTTTAAAAAATTATGCAAAGTTGTAAGGGATAAATAGTAAATTTTTTAAAAAAAATTTAAATGAATAGGGGTTTGTTCGTGAGAAAATGAAAGAGTGATTATAGGTGCTGATCATTGAATATGATTGGAGGAAATTTTATTTTAATAATAAAAAAGTTAAAATTCTAAGAATTTAGAAAATAGGGAAAGAAAGGTTTTTCAAATTCTCTCCACCCTCCTGGATTGCCAAACCAACCTTATTGTGAGATTTTGAGTATTGGTATGGTTGCCCTTTGATGTCCTGTGCATCAGAGGTCAAGCATTGCAAATTGTCATTCCACAAGTTAGATAAGACTACATACATCCAACTCTCTTTAAATACCAGTAGTGTAAACACAGCGATTTAAAAAATAATAATCTTATTCTGGATCTATGCACATTTAACACAGAAAGAGGATTCTAGATCTATAGGGAAGTTTAAGATTTACTCTTAAAACAAGTTTGCAATAATTTTATGCTTTTTCAAGGAGTCTTGATCTTCAAATATGAGTTTTATTTTACTTCAAGCCTAACAATTTTGTGGTCTATATCGATATCCACACGAATTGACAAACTAAAAAGATATACCTCAATCTGTGATGAAGTAGTATGGAGAGAAATAGAGAGATGACAGCAAGAATGTAGCAATTATCCACATCCTCTAAAAGAGTATTTACGAAGTCTTAGATGACTCAATCCTAGTTTGAGTCTAATTGCAATTTTTCACAACTACATAGTGGGCCATTTACTAACCATTAATTGTAATAAAGCTCATAATTAAGTTTTCATCCTAATTAATACTTAATTGGTTTTATCTCATTTATTCTTTTATTTTCAATTAATTTTATTGTGTATGGATTCAAACATATTCAATTGTAGGCATTAGACACTAACTTTAAATAGCATCTCAAATTAGAACTCTTTCTAATTTTACAATTAATTAGAATTCTTCTAATTCTCTTTTTCTGAATAATAACATATTTATAATATTTCGTTATTTTGGGTTTCTACTAACCATGAGTGTAGGGGTGTCCATGAGCCGGGTTACCAACAAGTCCCGTTACCTGGCCTGAAAAAATAGACCCAAAATTTGATAGGCTCGATAATTAGCCCGCTTGAGTCCGAGCCTAATATCTTTAAAAAGAAGGCTTAGGTTTGCTCCCAAATCCATTACCCCATCTGAAGCCCGGCCCAAGAGCCCGCCGGCCAAGCCCAACCCACCCACATAGCCCGCCCACCCTTCCTTTGAAAAAAATTATACTTTTTGACCATTAAATTTGAAACTTTGAAATAAGTCTTCTAATGTCAAAATTTGAAGTTTTAAAAATTTAGATATTATAAATAATATATTATTTTTATTTTCCATGTATTAAGCATACAAGTTTTAAAGGGTAGAGTAATGCAAATGATAGATAAGTGAGTAGGTGTCAACCTAATTGTGATATATTCATTCTATTAGATATAGTTTATCCCCTAATTAAAAATAAAATATTCATTATTTTATTTTTATTCATTTTTGACTCTATTTTTGATTAAAAAATATAATTTACACAAATATTAAGTTACAAAAATATTCATTATTTTTAAATGAAGGTGTATATAAAAAAGCCTGTGAGCAGGTCCGCCCAATAACTCACTTAGATAACAGCTTAGGCCTACATTACCCAGACCTGACCCGAAAAAAAAATTTGTGGGTCTAACCCGGCCCAGCCTAGGGACACCCCTACATGAGTGATAATGGTCAAATCCTGAATAACACAAAGTAAAAAGTAAATAACTTATTCAATCTATAGTTGTCATACAACAATGTCCCAATTGAATTTTAGGATTTGAAATTATTGCCAATCTTATATGTTCGATTTTAGAACGAAGACTCATAATGATTAAGTAGAAACTCTTTTCCAATTGTAGTTTCGCCTTGACAAAGGACTCCTTGAGTCATACTTTAGAAGATCACATATGACATTGTCTTTTGTTATTAAGAGTCATAAATTTCATGTTGGCTATTCACAAGTGTCCATGCATGTCTAACTATGCCCAATTATACATATCCAAATTATATGGTTAGTATATAAATAGTTATATAGTTCAAACATAAAAGTAGATACACAAAACAACCATAGTGTCTCAAATATAATGATAAGTTGAATGACTACGATTTAACATTAGCTGATAGTCAAAGATCACGTACTTGTTTTTTAGCCAATACCCACACACTTGCTTCAATGTCCCTATACTAATGACTTGCAATGAGTCACCTCATATCAAATATGAGCACACATAGTGTATATTGTTTTCTCTGAATTTTATAATACCCACATAGTAATACCATAGCTATGAACCTTTAAATGTTGAGTATTAAGAAGTATAAGTCTCATTTTCTCTGCGCTTTGAGAAACTATCTTCTTAACTAATCATCCATGAACTATATCATGTATATTAACTTCATAGATAAGTTTGTATTCTCTGAGCACTCTCCTGTAAAGACTCTAAAGCCAGACAAACTACTGTAACCCATCTTCTTCAAAACAATATACACCTCCAAGGAGCAAGAGACTCCCTTATAGTGGACGTAACTTTAATCTCTCGGCTAGGGTGAACTACTTGCATTGTGTCTAGGTTTTTCTCTCATGGCTTTATCTATTTCTAGTCTACATATTTGCTTCATCCCCTCCCTGGGTCTTCGGACTTTAGTTCTGGACTTGGGCTAACATTTTTTAGCACCATCATAGCTCAATCTGTGATGAAGTAATACAGACATAAATAGAGAGACGACAACAAGAGTGCAGTAATCATCCACATCCTCTAAAAGAGTATTTACGAAGTCTTAGATGACTCAATCCTAGTTTGAGTCTAATTGCAATTTTTCACAACTACACAGTGGGCCCTTGACTAACCATTAATTGTAATAAAGCTCATAATTAACTCCTAATTAAGTTTTCATCCTAATTAATACTTAATTGGTTTTATCTCATTTATCATTTTATTTTCAATTAATTTTATTGTGTATAGATTCAAACATATTCGATTGTAGGCATTAGACACTAACTTCAAATAACATATCAAATTAGAACTTTTTCGTTATTTTGGGTTTCTACTAACCATGAGTGATATTGGTCAAATCCTTGATAACACAAAGTAAAAGGTAAATAACTCATTCAATCTATAGTTGCCAGACAACAATGTCCCAATTGAATTTTTAGGATTTGAAATTATTGTCAGTCTTTTATATTCGATCTTAGGACGAAGACTCATAATGATTAAGTAGAAACTCTTTTCCAATTGCCATTTCGCCTTGACAAATGACTCCTTGAGTCATATTTTAGAAGATTACATATGACATTGTCCTTTATTATTAAGGGTCATAGATTCCATGTTAGCTATTCACAAGTGTCCATGCATGTCTAATTATGCCCAATGATAGATATCCAAATTATATGGTTAGTATATAAATAGTTATATAGTTAAAACATAAAAGTCTATACACAAAATAAGCACAGTGTCTCAAATATAATGATAAGTTGAATGACTATAACTTACGATTTAACATTGACCGATAGTCAATGGTCACGTTCCGTTGACTAGTTTTTTAGCCAATACTCACACACTTGCTTCAATATCCCTATACTAGTGACTTGTGATGAGTCATCTCATATCAAATATGAGCACCCACAGTGTATACTGTTCTCTCTGAAGTGTATAATTACCCACATAATAATACCATAGCTATGAACCTTTAAATGTTGAGTATTAAGAAATATAAGTCTCATTTTTTTTCTCGATTTTGTTATCTTCTTTTTCCCAAAATAAAATAAAATAAAATAAGGTTTTATAAAAGATTTTTCACCAGACAAATATACCTTTTTATCCAAGTCACGTGTTGGTCGTGGATGATCATTCCACCATAATAAATTGATAAATTTGGATGGAAGGCATAAATTGAAACTCAATAAAACTTTAAGAATTTTATTGAATCAATTGCAATTTCAAGGATCAAATAAGAATTAAAAGCTCATACTTTAAAGTTGTAAATTATAATTTACCTTTTAATTAAATAATAAATGTTAATAGTACAACCCCAGAACATATCATTTATACGATGAGTCTTAGGGCATACTATTAAGATGGGAGCATCATGTATTAAAAATTTGGCTGCTCCTCGGCGCTCATCTTATTTTCATCTCTTCCCCTCTCCTCTATCATCAATCAATGATAGATGAGTAAATGGGAAATAAAAAAAAATGCCAATTTGAGGCAGATAGCAAGAATTGGTTGGTCGTGTGGCAAACAACGACACCGGCGATGAGTCATATGGCTAATTTTCTTTTTCTTTTCTTTCTTTCCTTTTTTGGCATATGGCTAATGTTGAAGCCAATACTGATTAATTCATATGATAACAAGGCAACACAGCTTGCTAGACAACACAAAGTATCAAAGTATATAAAATAAAATAACAAAAAATATCATGTGATCTCAGTATTACAGCGAACGGTAAGCTGATATGTATTACAGCCCTTAATCGATCATTGCTCTCTCAAATAAAAAATGAAAATGAAATGATGAGATGAAGGAAAGGACCGTCTTCTTCGTCTGTTATCTATTGCTTGTACTTTGTAGGAAATGCGTGTACTTGCCATAGCAGTCAAGGCCATGGGGATTCTTGGTTTATTTCTCTCTCTCTCTCTCTCTCTCTCTCTCTTCCCCACAACCACCAGTTTGTGATATTCTAATGATAAGGACAATGGGTTCCCATGGTCTATGTAGTTTTGTATTTCAAGGAAAAAGGAGAGGTACCATATTCATTACCAAGCTAAAGTATTCATTTAAACAAGGGTTAGTTACAAGCTGTTTAAGGTCAAATTATCACAGATAGAACTTAATAGGGTTAAATTACAACCGACAAAAAGGTTGAATCGATAACTAAACGTTAAGATTGCGTATAAAATGTTTTAATCGGTTCCAAACATCCCTATTTCTCTCTAACCTCACCAGTTATAACATCATCCTTATTTTGTTGTAACTTATAATATGTTGCTAAAAATTAATATTCATTACCATCCATTGCTTAAATATTAAAATGCCCAAGAGCATGTTTGGCTCCTCTGATTGTGTTGCTTATAGTACTTTTATTTTATTTTATTTTTGTAGATGAATTGATAAGCAAATAAACTACTCTACATATCTATGAAGCATTATCCATTAACATCACCCAGCTTTCTGCGGGGGATCGCATTGCACCTACGTCGGATCCGAAGCTAAGGTCCCACTACGTGCTCTAGATACTAAAGAGTAAATTTAACCTCACCGAGCTGTCATAGTTATGGAGATTTGAACTCAAGTACTGAAATTCTTTTCTACAGTATGCATAAGTTAACAACTAGAAAAGCATATCAAATTCACAAACTGCAGGCCCCATCAGAGGAGAGAGAAAGAGATGAAAAACATGTAAAACTCAATCCTGACATCATAAAATCAAACTATCCACGCATGCAGGCTAAAGATACTGGAGTTCTTTTCATTAGTGCCCGAGGCATAAACTTGAATTACCAGCTTGCAGTGATTGAGTTCAAAAAACAGGGTCAATTGAATACACAGAGACATCCAAAACATTTCCTGAGCTAAAAGCAATCAACCAAAACCAATGTGGACCAGAAAACATGAACCAGCAGGGAGACAGGCAGACAGCTTTAAATCAAAATCATATACCCTTACCGTGCCCTATCATGAAGTAGGGAAAAATTTCATAATGTTTATGCTTCATATATTCCTCTACTCAACCCCTGGAACTCGAAACAAGTTCTAACGGATAATTATAGCTCAATAAGAAGACAATACATAACCGCAGCCATTAAAATCGAGATATGGGTCAGTCATAAAGAAAACCTGTATGCTAATCCCATATACAATCCACAGCACATCTCAATAGAACCAAATTCTAAGGAAATTCCACAGCTGCTTAAAAACACTGTTTTTCATATGTAAGAACGAAACTCCGCACCCACATTCTTTTTTCAACATACATAATTAAAAGAGAGACCCAAGTAATGAAAGAGAACACCAGGGCCTGGTGCTTTAATTATGGTGTGGGAGCAGTTATGGTGTACCATAACTTCCATCTCCTCTTGCCCTATGTCTTGTCACTAAAATGAATTTGCCACTTGGAAGTAAAAAATACTTGGAATAGAAAATTCATCTGTAAAAAGGAGTGGGCGAAAGATATTATTAAATGAGGGAAGGAACAGAAGTATTGTGCATCCACACCCTTTGTGCACTATAAAGACACAAACCAAATCTACAGTCGATATATATATCATGGAAGAATTCATCACCATTCCCAGACCTTATCCTAATCTCGATTCTCGGTAAACATAATTGAGATAAATCATCCAATCATCTGATAAGAAGGCAACATAGCTTGCAATCACCTCTCCCCTTCCCCAATGATCAATTATCGACTCTCCCCTTTATTGTGGCTCCTATTTTCAATATTTGATTGATGTGAATAATGATTTATTCTTTGAACCTCAGTGGATGATTTGGAAGGCTAAAGTGCCTGTTAAAGTGTAGGTACTTGCATGGATGATTGCCCACGGTGAGGTGAACACTTGTGACTTCTTGTAAAATAGAAGGTCTAAAATTTATCCTTCCCCTATTTGGTGTGTTCTGTACAAATAAAGTAGTGAATGTATTGATCATTTGTCCCATCATTATCTCATAGCTATGTTTGTGGCAGAAGCTTTTGCAGGAAGCAGAAGTTTTGTGGGAAGCAGAGCTGACGCTGGTTATACCTCACGATTGTGTCTTTATTTGTTGTGCGTTTAAAAGGCTTTGGGTTAGGTAAAAAAGCATCGACACTGTGGAAATGTACTTTTATGACTTTTGTGGCTCATACAGTTGGGGAGGAATCGCAGTATTTTTGGAGGCAATGAGGCTGATAAAGAGTTGAGGATAGAGTTTACTTTTTAGCTTCTTTTTGGGCAGTGGTTTCAAATCATTTTCAGCAGCATCTAGCAAATTTTTTTATTTTTAATTTTCATTGTATTTTTTTGGTTATTGGATGGATTATTTATCTACCTTCTATGTACTTTTTTCCCTTTTCTATGAAATGAAAGTTTGTTTCTTATCGAAAAAAATAGGGAAAAATTGCCAATTTCCAACACATAAGAATGAAACTAGAGAAATGACAATGACAAGACGGTATGCCGAGTTAAATCAATATGCATTCCATACCTCAAACGTTCATTTACCTTTCAGATTCTAAATTCATCTCATAGATGTTTGCCCGACCTTTCTTTGTAACTCCACCAGACAGCTTTGTAGACAGCTAGAAGTGCATACAAAAACCTATTTGGAAGATCCAAATGTTCTACACTACGCATAAGTTATCAACTAGAAGAGCATGTCAAATTCACAAAATCCAGGCCCCATCAGAACAGAGAGCAACAGATGAAAACCGTGCAAAACTCAATCATGACCTCATAAACCATAGGCTAGAGATACTTGATGAAAGATTTGTTTCCTATCACAAAAGATATTTAGGTTCTTTTCATTACTGCCCAATCAAAACATACATGAGCTGATAATTATAGCTCATACAGATGATACCGTGGTCATTAAAATTAAAATACTGTTCCATCCAAAAAGAAAACCTGCATGCTAATCCCATGTCCAATCCTTCTAACTAATAGTCCTAAAGCAAATCTTAACAGACAAAATTATAAGTTACATGTAAGGCAGCTTAGGTAACATGATTCATGGCAATAATATGATGCTAAAGTTTGAGTAGACTTTGAAAGTACTTAAGAGTGGAACTCGCACCCATATTCTCTTTTCAATATAGATGATGTAAAAGCAAAAAAATTATTTGCTTCCAAAGGCTCCTGATTATTTTTATCATCTATTCTATTGTATTAGGGAAATTGTGTTACATAACTTCCACCTCCTTCTCTTGCCCTATGTCCATTATAGATTGATACCCGCCTGATTTTGCCACTTTGCATCTAAAACTACTTAGAACAGAAAATTCAACTGTAAAGAGGAATGGGCGAAAGATATTATTAAGTGATGGAAGGAACAGGAGTATTGTGCGTATAAACACTTCATGCACTTTAAAGACTAACAAAATCAAAACATAAAATATCAAACAATTCATCACCATTCCCAGATATGTTGTCGTACCCACCGGTCACCCCTACTTTAGAAAACATAATAGAAATAAATCATCCAATCAAGAAATTAACAGGAAATTTATAAAAACAGAATAAAATTCTATTAAATCAAAATTACTGAAAGATTTTTCCATTCCATTACTATTCTTCAACGAGAGATCTCAAACAAGAGCATGATGATGAAGCAAGCAATGATTGATAAAGGGAAAAAAACCCTAAAATCTTTGGTTAATTTTTCTTCCCCTTACTCAATGCTGCACAAAATATAGGCATGGTAGGCCAAAACTAACCTAAAGCTTACCATCTAAGGCTGGATACTATGCATTTGTAGTAATCTACCCCTCCCACAAGTTGAGATCAGAACAATAATGAAGCAAGCTGTGATCAATGAAGGGGAAGACCTGCTGGATTCATGCTTCAATTTTCTTACAGAAACATAAGCATTGCACAATTTAACGCTGAATATTAAGCATCACCTTTGCTTCAGTCTGCTCCTCCAACAAATTCTCACTCGCATACTTACTCAAAAGCTCCATCTTCTTCTTCTCCAACACCATTTTCTCAATCTCCTTCTCATCTGGCAATGGCACATGCACTACAAATTCCTCCTCTTTCTCCTTCCTTTCCATCTCCCTCTGCCTCTCCTCCTCCACCACATCCTCCTCCTCCTCAAACAATATCTTCGCAGCTGCACCAACCCCCACCTCCGCAACCTCCCCGCTCTTCACAGCCCTCCTTGCCTCCCTCTTTATCTCCTCCATCTCCATCCACTCTGCCACCGCTGCTGCCCTCATCTTCTTCTCCGCAGGGCCCTCCAGCTTCTCCAATATTCCATCCTCATCATCTCTGTAACCATAATAACTCGCATCAATCCTCTTGTATATATCATACCTACAAGAAACACCACATTCATCTTGTTAGTGCACAAATAATGAAAAACAATCAAATGTGTACACAGTAGAATGATGTAATGCAAAGTTAAAAAGACACCAACTCTCAAACAAAATCATCACTAAGAGCAATCAAAGCAGATGCATCTCAAAAACCAAATTAAACCTTAACCAAATTACATCATTCTAAACCAGAGTATTGCATATAATAATAATTTGTTGCTTCACATAATCAATATTCAAAAGAGATTACCCGATACACCAATCCAGAAGATATCAAATATAGCCTCAAATCTATATAATAAAGTAGAACTACAATTGATTCCTAAACTTACGTCAAGTTTTTCGCATCCTAGATCATTTTAGAATTATCGATACTACGAACCTAATTGATCCCCAAAATATTTTTCCCACTCAAGAATTTCCCAAAATCCAGTAGGACTCTCAGACTCGCATCTCTATCACTCATCATTCATTGTTAGAGGCATCTAAACCTCTTTGTCTTCCTCCCTCCCCCCTTCAACCTTGATCTCTCTTTGGCTCTTCTCTCTCTACACCCTCGGCAATGGACAGACCCACTCTCACTGGACAGACGCATCCCAGCGAGCCACTCACACAAAGGCTGGTTGTTGTGGGTCAGCAGTTGGGTTTGGATCTTCTCACCACACACCACCAGCTTAACCCCACCCACGGCCCTGCACCCACCGCCATAACCCTCACTACAAACACTGCTGAACAACCACCCCCATTACAGTAAACACCCTTAATCAAACCCACACTACCCAACGGCAAAATACCCCACTGCCAACACTCCACCACCACCAACCATTGCCATCCCCTCCACCCCCTTCCTCCTATCCTCACCTACCAGAGCACCCTGCATCAAAGCACACAGAGTGTTTGTTGTGATGTCTGAGACAAGTTTATTAGGAAAAATGTTGCCCTTTAATTTTGCCATGAGTCAATAGCCGACACACATACACACCACCTGTTCCATGGACATCATCACTTAAATTGAGATTTTATCCTGATTGTGATGGACTGATTGGTTTTGCATTTGTTTTGGTTTATTCTTTGTGGTTTTTTTTGGTGTGTGCAATTGGAGATAGATCATGAAGAAGATGGTAGGGATATTTGCTGGGAAGTTAGAGTTCCTGTTTCCACTAAGTAGGTCTGAATTTTGATACCGTCTTGGATTTTGATTGACTGTTGGGTTCATTCATTGGTTGTTCGTTAGAAGAGCGTCAATTATTGAGTATAAAAGAAAGTCTTAAAATAAGGTTAATTGACAATTTCTGTCTTGTTTTGCCACTCTTTGCTTGTAGAGTAAGACTGTGTACATCAAACCTTTTCTAAACCCTGCAATGGTGGGAGGCTAATGCACGGGCTACGCTTTTTTTTTTTTTTGGTTGAACTTGAATTTTGGTGTTGCAGCACGTGTTGAAGAGAATGCACTTAAAAAAAATTAGACACCTAATATTAAGGATTCGATGAGATTGTAGTTTTGTTATTTTAGTAGAATTGGATTTGTATATTTTTTTATTATGAATTTTTATGGCTTGGATTTGTTGTGAATTTATGCAATTGAGATGGTGATCTTTCCAATCTCTCTTTCTTTTAAGGCCTTTTTCTCTTAAACGTCTCAAGACTATCCAATATACTTAACATAAAACTCTTTGTTTTACATGTGTTTGAAGTTTTTTGTTTGTTTTATTAGTTTAGTTGCTGCTATCACAATGGATAAAGTTTACGTCTACTTCAGTAAGTGGGAGTTGTCAGCTGGCTTACTTGGGGTATTTTTCACAATCTCATCGAATCCTTAATATTAGGTGTCTAATTTTTTTTTTTTGGAAAGTGGAACTAATAGAGGAGTGGATTGGCAAAATCTCCTCTCATATCTTTATGATGATATAGTTAATTTTATCTGCCCAGTGGGTTTTTTGGGCATCAATGAAGGGGCAGAAGCCACTCCTTTGCCTGCTAATGGACGGATTTATTGGAACACAAAGGAAAAATATAGTGGACGGGTCAAATGATCACAAGAGGGGGTTACCTTAATTGATTTCCTCCTCCATTGTCGCCATCTCATCTGCGCTACTCATTTCCATAATTCAAGTTGTTTGTTTTCCTCCAAAATTGAATAGTTGTGGACTCTAATAAGAAAGGAAGTCCTAATAGGAGTCAATTGCTTAGCAATTTAAGACAAATTTTGAGGTGGTAGTTTCCTGTCTCCTACCAATCTAGGGTATAGTTGACTTTTTTAGTTGTAATGTAATTCCTCTTTAAGATGCAAGGTTTTATGTCCACTCTACCAATTAATAAATCCAGCCCTTGCTCTGTCAGGGTTATTTAAAAAAAAAGTAACCTTGATTAGGGATCAATTTTAGAAAAATCGGTAACGGATATTAGGCTTTCAAAATTATGTTTTTGATGGGGAAATAGGGTAGTTAATAACTGAAAAGGTGTAATTGCAACCATTATCATGTGAGTAACTATCACTGCAAGAGCATGTTTTATCAAAAGTTTTGCCTTTTTTGACTGGGTTGAAGAATTGGATTTTGATTTTTCTGTTTGTGCTTTTGACATGGAGGTTTGCTGCTTTTTTGTTTTTGCCTACTTTGTTGCAACAGTTGCATTGACTTTCACAAGCAGACATAAGATCTTGAAATAGCATTAAACTTTATGGTTGATATGAGTGAAAGTAAAACTACCTAGAATGGTTGGACCTTTTCGTTTGTGGACTGGCAGATTATCAATTTCAAGTTTCTAATAATTGTGTAATGGTTTCACGTGTATGACTAGGGGGGCCAGGTGCTATGCCCATAATCTACAATGTGGGAGTTAAGGATTGCAATTCAATACATAATAGCACGTTGCAACTAATCTTCAATGGTGATTCGCATCACCAGTAATATTTTCTATCAGCCACATGACCAATAATGTCACAAAGATCACAGTTGTGCGTTGCTCATATCCCATTTAACACACCTTTCATCATTGTTCAAATCATTTGTCAAAACGCTACCTCATTCTCTTCCTTAAGAGTGTCTTAGTGCTTTGTGGGTGCTTTTGTGATACAATTTTCCAATAACAATGGTTTAGATGTCTTTGAACTACACATTGGTACTTATGCTTTTGAACTGCTTATGCATATGAAAAAATGCTAAATTTTGTTGAATTATGGTTATAGTACGAAATTTATTTTTATTTTATGTGGTAAAACATACAATTGCCCATGCATTGCATATTATTTAGTTCTTAAGAAATGAGAAAATTTTAGCATTTTGAGGTCTGGCTTTTGGAGGAGTTCACCAAATAGGTGTCCTTTGCTGAGTCATTGGTGTTTGGGTTTTGATTGAAGGATTTTTTTGATGTTTCCTCCCCTTATTCCCTCCAAAGCCGACTTAGTGGCCAAATCAGATCTTTCTTTCTCAATCTTCTTCTCGCGGTAGTCGAACCAATTTTCACTTCCTCCGGTCTCTAGACTTATTACGTTTAATGACTTCATTCGTTGGTCCTAACCTGTTTTCAAACCTACCTATTAATGCATTCCAACCTGCATGTCTAATCGCTATGGCCTCTCCTAATACAGTCCTTCTAAATCTATCTTCATTGTTTCCTGCTAACCTGGTTGGCCACATTATTGAGCTCAAATAAGGAAGATTTTGAACCCCAACGACAAATGAACCTACAGACTGGACATTTTCTGGAATAGCCCGTTTCTGATTCCAGTTCCTCAATTGGGCAATTCCTCGCACAAAATCTTTGAATAAAGCCAAAAACCATGTAATTGACTTTCGGTCCCTTTTTTTTGTGCAATATCCATGTGGACACAAAATCTTTGAATAAAGCCAAAAACTATGTAATTGACTTTCAGTCCCTTTTCTTCCATTTGGTTAGTTTTTTTTCCCCATTTGCATAGTTTTTCACCTTTGCTAATTTTAGTGGGTTGGTGTGTTTATTTTTTAACTAAATTTTGCGCTTATTTTTGACCGACGTGTACACTCTTGATCACATCTCTTTATTTTGTTATAAGAGTAATTTTAAGGGTTCTTCATTTTTTCTAAATGACAATTTTTGTGTTATACAGTGCTTTTAGGCACAGACATTAGCTAGCACTTGCATATCCACATATACACAAACATGTTTTCTTTCAAGACCATAATGAATGAGTTTTAATGATTCCACATCAATACAAACAATATATGTTTTTACGGTTAACTACTTATTTGCAAACAATCACTTTGCTTTTAATACATCTTTCGAAAGAACTACATAAAATTGCAGAAATAAATTCCTCATTGAAATGCATTACACAAACAGGTCCTTCACATGACACATATTTTGAATAATAATACATCCAACATGGACATCAATCCAAAAAAAAAGATTAAAACATTCAAAATTAACAAATACACACTAATAAATTAAATATCAAAAACTGCACGACAAGGTGAGCCATCCAACATATCTAGCCCACCATTTTCATGATTAATTAGCTTAAAAGTAACCTTTTCAATTAGTTGGAACTCGATCTGATTCCAAATTTTCACCAAGTTAAAAAAAAAATTAATTTGAATGACATGTTCAACAAATTACACAGAATCTACAGAAAATTCAGTCCATTGTCCACAAACTCATCAATTAATGTTAAAAGAAACCTTTATCTGAGAAGTGAGAATATCTGAATGTTTCTATGTTTCCCTGAATTTTCCATATGACAACATGAATAATTTTCCAACTGACCACACCAATAATTTTCCATTCAATTCGGACCACTAGTCTGAATCCCAGTTTGACCAAATCTATGTCAATCAGTGTAAAATTGTAATCCGGTCCCCAACATGTCCTTTATACACACTACCTCAATTTAGCAGTACACTTACACTATGTCACTACTTTGTTACTCAAGTATGCATAAATTTGCCACATTTTAAACCAAATGTAAGATACACGTCCCTGTACAACTGTATCTAATTATCAATATAATGCTATTTTTGCAAGGATAAACACTAACTTACTGATTTATCACACTATAAAACATAAGACAACACTCATCTACATGTAATTTACATATCACAAAATGCACAAATCAACATAAAATTATGTGTGCCTGCCAACATTTTAAATGAGGATATCCTTCAGTTTTTCTAATGCAGATACCCGCTTAGGTGTGTGGACAAACAGACAGAGTAAAACAAACTGTGTATTAGTAGGTAACCATTCTCTAGATAGATATAGCATACCTATTCCTTCGCTTTCTCAACTCTGGCGGCTTCTCAAACAACTCTCTAACACCCGGTAACTTCTTCGCCGCCCCAAAATAGCGATACCCCGGCCCCCTTCCACTGGGATTGGGTACATCCACAATATTCCCTTCCAAATCAGTCATCTTGGCCCCATGTGTGGCATAATTGGGGCCACCAAGCTCCACAATCCTCCTTTCCCAATGAACCTTTTCACGTATGAGCTTATTGATCTCATCATTGAGATCTCGGATTCTATGTTCGCCTAAACCCTCATTCTGGATTTCGCTGACTTTATGCCCGATTTCTCGGAGGATTTGCTGGCGCCACCTGTCGGCCTCGGCTAAGTCCCGGCATTCTGAGGCTAAGTAAGGCCGTCGTTCTTTGGGCTTTTTCTTCTCCTCTTCTTTCATTGTGATGAACCGATTCAGCATTGACTGCGCTTTCTCTTCATTCCGAGCCATGTTGGGGAGGACCTTCAATCCCTAAATTGGAGAAAATGTGGGAAACTGGTAGTAGAGATTTGTTTCTGAAACTCCTGTATAGAACTCTAAAAACAAGTATGGATCTCCTGGAAAAGCAGATAGAAATCTGGTCACTGATAGGTACGTGAGGTTATACAAATTTCTCAAGCACCAACTATGTGCTGTTTTTTGATATAAATGCAAAGCAGATAAGATCAATAAGCACAAGAGGAGCAAAATCAGCACAAAAATTTAGAACTCACAAGGACAGAAAAGGAAATTTCTTAGCAGAAATCAATGAAAACAGGGGTAATAAAAATTCATAAGGAACAGAACAACATCAGCTACTGCAAGCATGAATAATGTCCTAACTGAAATTTGGACATCTGTCGTACCTAACTTAAGATGAAGCTTCCCTGCTTCCACAAACACAAGCACATGAACTATTTACCGAAAGTGCATGGTGAACAGAAACAAAGTGCATAGTGCGCGGAACAGATGCACAGCAAGCAGAAATTGGGCTTTGCCTTCGGAGATATATATGGAGAGAGAAAGAGAGAGAAATTAGGTATTTTTCAAGCTTACCTTACACCCTCATACGGTCCTTAGGCGTCCCAGAGGAAGATGCAGAGAGAGGCAGAGTGAGAGATCTGAGAAGTAGATGCTAGTGTTTCTATTAGGAATTAGGGTTTTGTCAGAGAGAAGGAGCGACAGACAGATGCATAGGGAACTAATAGAGGAGAGCGATGTTGATTTGGTAACACGGGTTTGATGAGGAAGGAGATGGAGAGATTGCTTCGCAGGCAGTTGCAGACTCGCAATTTTCCACGGAGAACGAGCGAGATATAGAACGTAGGGGTACGAAAGGATTATTGTGTTATTCGGGACTCTTAGGGAGTGCTTGCAAAGCAGCGGTGGACTGCACGGGGTCGGCTCCTCTGCGGTAACCCACTTCCCGCATTGCATGCGCTTAAGTGGAACCGCAACGTTTTGAATGTTTTTTATAATTTATTTTTTTATAGTTCTTACAAAAAACAGCATCGTTTGAATCCTTGAAATTAACATTAGAAATTCCTAATGCTTCTCCCGCTTCTTCTTCGTCAAACTGTAACCCAATTTAACGAATGCTTCTCCTGCCTTCTTCTTGCCTTCTTCTCAACTTATTATCTCTATTCTTCTCAACTCATTCTCCATTTTCTTCTTCTCCTGCCTTCTTCTCAACTTATTATCTCTATTCTTCTCAACTCATTCTCCATTTTCTTCTTCGTCAAATGCAGTAAACGTCAAAAGCCAGTTAAGAGAAGGAGACTTGGATGGAGATGGGGCTCTCAATGAATTCGAATTCTTTGTTTTAATATTTAGGTTGAGTCCTAAGTTGATGGATATTTGGAGCTTAGAGACTGTTTGATGAAACTATTGATTAATAAAAACAATGGAATAATGAAGTCAATTTCTTTGCACATGTTTTTTTTTGTTTTTGTTGGCTTGATAATGAATCAGGTAGTATCATGTTTTGTGTGTTTTTAATCTTGTTGGTTTTTTAATGGATTGGATAATGCCATGTTTTAAATTCTAAAACTATTGTTGAGTTGAAATATAAATCTCATAATACAATTTATGTCGGGTTTGATTAATTTTCTTAAGAATTATGTAACCTTATATACTTGAAACATGAAATAATTAATATCTTCTATTTTTGTGGTCAATATTGTTCTAGTTTGATTTTTATTTTTTGTTTTTAAATGTCATACATATATTATGTGTTTCATTCATCACATAATGTCATTTCAATTAAATTTCTTATTGTAGGGTACTGTGATGGATGATTTGAGAGTTAATTCAACTAAGAATAGACCTCATATTGATATGCAATTTGATGCGAATGAAAATGCTTATGCGTTTTATAATAATTATGGAGGGTTTGTAGGATTTAGCGTGAGAAAATATTTTCAGAATAAAAGTTTAAAAGATGATATTGTCATTTACAAAAAATATGTTTGTTGTAAACAAGGTCAAAGGGTTCGTAATAATAAAGAGTGACAAATAAGAAAACCTCGAGTAGAGACACGAACAAATTGTCAAGCTCATATGTGCATATTTCTTAATAGAGAAATTGACAAATTTATTGTGGTGAAATGGGACGATAACTACAACCATCATTTGCATCTTTCTGAATGTATGTATATGATGTTATCCCAACGGAAGGTTTTCAGAACACAAGACATTAATATTGATATGGCAACGGATTGTGAAATATCACTTAAGGCTTCCTATAAACTTTTAAGTACTCAGTCGGGAGGAAAGGAAAGTCTATATTTCACTCATCAAGATCAAAAGAATTACCTTCATGAAATGAGGCAACGAGACTTGAGGTATGGTGAGGCGGATAGTTGTTGAAGTATTTTCAAACGGAAGCAGTTAAAAGTCCATCATTCTATTATGAAGTGTAATTGGATGCGGAGGAGCATATTACTAATATTTTTTGGGTCGACTCAAGGATGATTATTGATTATGGCAACTTTGGGGATATCGTCTCATTTAACACTACTTTCAGAATGAACAAGGAGTATCGACTCTTTGCTTGTTTTATTGGTTTCAACCATTTCAGGGAGAAAATCTTATTTGGAGTTGCATTATTGTATAATGAAACAACAACATCATTTCAGTAGTTGTTTGAGACATTTCTACAAGCTTTATCTAGGAAATATCCTACTACCATCTTCACCAACCAAGATCAAGTGATGGCTAAGACTATTTCTCTAGTGATGCCAAAGACATACCATAGGTTATATTGTTGGTATCTTTGCCAAAATACATCGAAACATTTGAGGAACATAAGAATGGTTCATATTTTTCTGCTCAATTTAAAGAGTGTATGTATGGATATGAGAAGCGCATAAATTATTGGAGGCTTAGGAATCGTTGCTTGCAAAGTATAATTTGCATGATAATATATGGATGAAATTCATTTGAGCATTGCGAGAGAAATAGGGACATGTGTATATGAAGAGGACTTTTACTGCAAGAATGAGAAGCATCTACCTGAGTGAGAGCTTGAATGCAACCTTACGAAAGTACTTAAAGCCAGATCATGACATTATCCAGTTCTTTGTACATTTTGAAAGAGTTGTGAATGATAAGTGATATAAGGAGTCAGACTTAGAATACCAAGCTAGGTTGTCAAAAGTTTGAAATGGAGGGCATATTATGTGGTTATGCACTTAAAGTCTTGGACATGATGAATATTAAGCAAATTTTCAAGCAATACATATATAAGAGATGGAGACGAGATGCAAGACAGAGTTGTAGGAAAGCCCCCAGTACCATGTCAAATGAAGAGGATCTCAAGTTAATGGTGGCGTCACGTTACAAGCAGCTTTGTCCTAGAATGATATAACTAGTTGCTCGATGCTCTGGTCTTCAACCTGCATATCAATTGGTGTCACGTGGTATTGAGGAATTGTTCAAACAAGTAGATAAAAGGTATGCAAAAATTGGTAATGGTGGCGATGATTCAATCCATGGAGATGAAATAGAAAATATTGACCCAAACATTCTTTAAGTTAAAGGTTTAAAAAGAAAATAGGGATGTTACAAGGGTTGGGGTCAACTAAAATCTTGGCATGAGAAAGCAACAAAGAGAAAAAAAGGAGCTTCCCAACCATCGCATATATCTAAGGTATCGTATAAATATAATTGTAGGTTTTTTTAATTCACTTTATATTTTTTATAAACATAAATGTACTTATCACAAGCTTCGGCATATTTTTATTCATTTCATATTTTTATAAACATAACTGTAAATATTTTTGTATTCCAGGTACATGGTTTCAGTCACCCGTGTACCTTAGCATATGGTCATTCGAATATATTGTCTTCTCAAGTTTCAAATAGTTTACAAAGTATTATGGTATGTTATCTTATTACTAATTTTATTGTTTCACATATGTATCAAGTTTCTATGTCTGACCCCTTCTCATTAATGTAGAGTACTCCGACTGATTCAACACATGTGCATTTTTAAATGATGTTGAATCATTTTTTATGAATAGAGGATACAGCTTGTAAGGATGCTTGGGAGATCAGTAGTTATATGGATGTTTTGGGGCTACTAGTTGCTTATTGGATAATTTTGTTGAAAATCATTTATTTTGTATTTTTAATGAACATGATCATGATGTGTGATTGTGATTATGCGCCATTTTTTTAATGAATGTGATCTTTTTTTATGAACATGCTCTTTTTTTATGAATGCATTTTTTTTATGAACATGATCTTTTTTCCAAGTCACAACACTATACAAAACCCACAATTTCATTCAAATTAATCCACAAGTTCCATCAATACACCATTGCTCTTATATCTTTACTTCACTAGAATCACAAACAATAGCATCACCACTAGTAACGTGGCTACAAACATATATGATTTCATTGCTCCTTCTTTTGCCTCAACATGTTGAACTATATTACAAAGTTCTTCAATTTTTAACTTTAATGTCATTACATTTTCTTCAATTCGTCGTACATCTATCCTTTCATTTGTAATTTCCGAAGAAGGTAGAGTAGTAGGAGTCATCCACTTAAAAAATTGAAATCCCTCGTCCGGACATTTGTAGTATAACTTCTTAGGAATTTTTTTTAGATTCAAAAACTTTGATAGTCGCTCTATTCTTACAATTGGTGCATTGCATATTGCAATATCTTAACTCGTCGTTGCTTGTTGCTGTGCTTAAAGATGTCATTCTTCAACACTACAAATATGAAAGGACAATGGTAATTAAAACTCAACATTCTACAGCCCATTAGAAGCATTCCACAACCCATTAAAAACATTCAAATATAAATTAAAACTCAATATTCATGTTCACTCTACATTGATGTTCACTGCAATTAACACTCAACATTCATGTTCACTCTACATTCCACAGCCCATTAGAAGCATTCAAATATGAATTAAAACTCAACATTCATGTTCACTCTACATTCCAAAACCCATTT